TTTCCCATAATGTGCGTATGATAATGGCTCTTACGTTAAATCTCAAGTAATCATCTTATTGTTTGCGGTGAAGCTAATTCGAGTACTACTATTACTATTGCGCCACTCTTTCAACATACTATTGGTATCTCGAATTTCAATTGACACATATTTGAAGTAACCACAAATGGTAAATGCAATTAATTTCTTTTTTTTACTATTATATACTGTTTCACAATTTTTCCTTTTCCACATCTTCTTCTTTTTTTGGACTAACTAAACGTCGATAAGCCTAACGCAACCATAAAGGAACAGGAAAGAAACCTGACAGGGGTTCACCCGTGGACGTATATACCGTGTTATGTGCCGTCTCTCGAGGCGGTAACGGCAGACTTAACGGTACCCCATTCCAGCCCAATATTTATTCTTTTCGCTGTAAACGCGACATTTCGTATCCGCGTGATGCAATTACGACACGAAAGGTAGAGAAGTGAATTGTAACACTTGAATTTTGAAAGCGGGATAGTTTAATTAATCATGATATTTGAAACAACGTCAAGGAAATGAAAAATTAATTCATTTTTTATTTGCTGACAAATTTTGTGTGAACCTTTTTTCCTGGTATCTGTTACGCGTTCCTTTACAATTTTAATAGATATCATTTTTAACTATAACATTAGCGTTACGATTATTGATAGAGATTTTTTTACTCCAACGGCAGTTTACTTTAATGACAAGATCAAGCTTCCACCACTGTCATAGCTCAATGTAGGATAATCATAACCCACGCATCATGCGCGCATTATTTTGAATTGTACGTGTATTGACATCCTAAAAATTTATGAAGAACACATCTATAATCGCTACATGATGCTGTATTTACAAAGTCGAAAAATTCTTGGATGGAATGATCAAGTGGAAATTTAATATAAAAGCGTTTTTCACCGGTCTGAAATTATATTTGTTAATATTGATAATGACCTCGTGTTTAGATCGAAACATCTGTGAATTTATTGTTTGTATTAAATAGTTGGTTGGCTCGTAACTCTTTATTTTAATATATATTCAAAGAAATTCTTTGTAAAACAGTTTTATTTTAAGATGCTTATTAGATCGGTATCTCTCGATAGTGCAATTCAACAAGCGAAATTGTATAATTAAATCGATATTGCATATAGGCAAATCAATGTCACATGAAAGTGACACCACTTCAAAAGAAAGATGAATTGTTTCATGACAGCTGGTAATCGTGACACGACAAGAGCGCACGCAATTCCGATAACTACGGTAGCTAGTCTATAAACGTCAACTATGAAATAATCTCACGTTATACGAAAATGTGAATCTTTTATTATTGGTCTTTATTGCAGTGATTTTCTTTGCAATATTTTAAGATGCTTATTAGCATTATTAATTTGATGCAATATAATTTGTGATATTATTATTTCAACTTCAGTTTATAATTGTGTTTTAAATCCGATAGTGATCGATGCGCAGTTTATATAACTTGGAAAATGTATATATTTAAAAATATATATATGTATAAATATTACTTATAAATATCATATTATTAAGCACAAAGATTTAATTTCGATTATACTTGGCCTCTTTATACTTATTTTATAATTATATATGTGGAAATTAGATAAGAATAAATCAAATAAGAGAAAGGCTATTTTCGGTCAAAATGGATATCTTGGTGTTTAATAATATTTGCAAATATATTTTTCAATTCTATACTGTCCGCCTATTCGATTTGTCAGACTTGAAAAGCAATCATAAACTGAAGCTGGAAATAACATCACAAATTACATTGATCATTAATTCAATAATAATGTTAAAAAGCACCTTAAAACACTATTAAGAAATATTTTGCACAAACATTTATCTGACTTTCTTGATTTTGTTTCAAATATCATGATAAACCATTTTGCTTTCAAAATTCAATTATTATAATTCACTTCTTTAATTCCTTCGTGTCGTAAATGTTTTCGCTTGAAATTTCGACTTTCGACTCGCGCTTTCATGAATTCGATAGATAAATGGATTTTTATCTCAATAGATCTTGAAAATAGCGATTCTCTGTGTAGTCTGAGCTAGCCTTCGTTTTTGTTCTACTGTATACGCAGTAATTTCGTGACACTTTCACGGTTTGTGCGGTTGGGCGAAAGTCAGGGAGTGATGAAACTCTATGCCACGCTCGCGGATATACGTTTCTCGGTGTCGTTGCTCCCGCCGCGCCAACGTGATGACGTTAGTAGCTTCATGCAAATATTCTTCCTTGCGCAAACGGAAAACGATATAGCGACGGTAAAATTCATGAAAGCTACGGGAATGATGCGTCAGTCGATGACTCTTTCATCGGTGAAAAGGAATGCTTACGGCATCGAGCATCATGGTAAGTATTGATATTACGCAGTGAATTGATAACGGTACCAATTCAATATTTCAACATTTCGGAAATATATTAGCCTATAAATTCATAAATCAACAATAATTATATTAAAGCGAAATGAATTGCGATGCGTCAGTCATTAATTTATACGTGAAGAGACACAGAATCCAATATTAATGCTCCAGAATGTAAATGCTAATAAGCGAAAACTCATAAAACGCAATAATGGTTATGTATGTTTCTGTGATTCGGGAGACGAAATATGCGAAAATTAAATTCGTAAAATTTGCATTAAAATCTTCAGCGATTATTTAATATTTTTCATATAGCAAAATGTCTGCTTTATGCTTTTAAAAAATAGTATATTAAGAAAAACTTTACAAATTTCCATGATCTATTAATAAAATACTTATAATTATAATATAAAAGGTAATAACTATATTAATGTATTTAGACAACCCATTTGGGAATTTAAAATCACTCGATGTAAATGTTGAACACTTGCCTCGTATAGACTATAAATCTAGTAAGTGTTACACACGTTTCCTTCGTTTATCTCCGTTTTATATAGAAACAGTTGGTGAGACACGAATAGAGAAAATATAGGCCATATCACTTATTCGATCTCTACAATTTTATACGGACTTTAAAGTCGTACCGATAAATTGCGTATGCATGTACACGTTTCGTAATCGCGTCGCCAATTTTATCTGAAACGTGAAAATTTCTGAACGTTTCAATTATTAAAAGGAGTGGACTCGGTGCAATATATGTTATATTATCTTTTCGCGCAATTGTTTTCATTGTGATGTATAATAACGAGATATTAATTACGATTGCGGTTGCCACCTTTCCGGTTTTTAATTGAAAAATCCAGCTGTTTGAATGACTTTCTTGTAGACGGAAAAAATCCCTGATTAATCGTTTAAAATTTTAATATTTTTTTAAAGAAAAACAAATGATAACATTTTTAATTTTTACATACACACGCAAAATCATTAGCAAGAGGAGATCAAATCTTTAAAATGACCCTTTTCTTATAATATAAAAAACAACAATTTAAATATTTTACAAGAAAATAACAATTTAAATAGTAATAATTAATTTCACAACCAGATAAAAAGACCACTTCAAACACACAGTTACGTTCAGAATACTTTTAATTATCGTTAAAAATAAAATTTAATATGTAAAATAACCACTTAAAATTTGATACGTTTTTGAAACTATTTAATAAACATTAGAAAAATGTCATTAAAATGTTATGAGATATTTATAACGTCTATTTGACATGTTTTTATTAATTTAAAATATCGTTTCATACAAGATATTTCGACTATTTAATAAACGTTAACGTTAATAACATCTATATTTAACATTTTTACATATTATAAAAACACATGATGTATAAACATTCATCAAACGTGAATGGTCTGCTTGGAATTGATGTTCGGCAAAATGCTAGTCGGAGATGGTAACCGTGATTTCCCTCTCGCCGTTTTTAATTAAGAAAATTATTATTTAATATCTTCATTTTTCCATGTTGCTATTTCGAAGTTATTGCTATATACATATTTTATAATAGCGTGTAAGTAAATTTTGCGGACTTTATTCGCGATTTTATATAGGATAGAATATCTACGTAGAATTAAAACCAGACATGCAGTGGCACGACACGGATACCGAAGCGCTTATCTCCTCACATAGTACTGATGCATACACTGCTGCGAAACCGGACATACTTCTATTTACGCAGTCGCGACATATTTGCATAAATTCTTGACATGTTTTTCGAAAAAATGAGGATCTATATTCATCGTATGTAAATATAACTATCCTGGAGCAATCCTTGTAGAGTTTACTGACGTTATATTCACCAGGTGAATGATAAAATATTCCCTCAATTACTTAATAGCTGCGTGTGATTCGATGAAGCGTCGACGCGTTGGTACAAGCATTCTTGAACCTGTCGAAATTTTCGGTGGAGGTCAAGATACCGGTTTCGGACATGCCGACACTCCGCCGGCTTAAAAACCTCGGATTAAAAAATCGGACAGGTTCAAGATACATTTCAAGACATTGCATTCTTTTTGTAAATTATACTAATTAATCCGCGACTGAACGATGTGATACGGGCATACTTAAACTGGGCGTTAATGTCGCCACGACAACATCACATTGCGATCATTGATATCTCCACTGAACTTTTAGTTTGTATATCTTTCGTAATTCGTATTTCATAATCTGTATAGATTAGGCAAAATGTATTAATGACTAGAAATTTTATCTATCATTAATTATATTATTTTTAATTGTTCTTTGTTGTTTAAATTATATGTTTACAATTAAAGCAATTATAATCGTGAATTAAATTATATGTTTTGTCGAATATTTTATAGAAAACATTCGACAAAACATATAATTTTGTTTGTTTCATAATTATTATCGATAGACTCGAAATTAAAATTACGTTTAATATTTTGTTAAATTTTTATTAAAAAAAATTTTTCAACAGGCTTTAAGAATTTATCGCAGAGCATTTAACACAAATACTCCACGTCTAATTGTTCCATCCTCCATCTCCTGACTCACTACCCTATCCCAACCTTTCCTCTCCCGAACTTACCGGACAGTGCAAGGATCGTCAAGGTCACGAGGACCTTCGATCCATTGGGTCCCTCCATGATCATCGACTGCTCTGGCAACCCCGCGCTTCTCCTAGCAAGATCAAGAACGCGAATGTCAAGGACGCGATATCGCGTGGACCCTTTCTTCAGGATTCCGCACACCTGGACCGGTCGTCTTCAATTCGAAGCGAGCTGTGGTGCCTACTGATATCTGCCATTTTGGATCACAAGCCTACAACGAGCCACTGGACATCAGGAGAGCCGACTTCACGGGCGCTGCCTGCGGCACGCCATTTCTTCTTTTTCCCTCGCCTCTCTCTTTCTGTCTTTCTCTCTCTCTCTCTCTCTCTCTCTCTCTCTCTCTTTCTCCCTCCACCTCTTGTCCTGTAAACTTGTGATGTTTCTTTTTTTCTTTTTACTCAGTCTCACACTCTCACATACGCCGGTTGACCTACTTGGCGGCGGATCAGACCGGTGTACACGTCAGGTTTTTGACCGTGCCGGACTTTAACTTAATATTCGATGAGACAGAATCCCATTCCATAAGACTAATTTTTATTTCGTTGTCATGAAATTTATTTTATCATGCTATTTTGCTTTCAATTGCACTTTGTAAAATTTCGCTGCGTTTACGATCTGTCAGAATTTTTCTTAGGCAATTTTCTTCCGACTCTCAAAGAGAAAGACTTGTAAATTGCTCCTTCAAAATGAATTACATCACTTAAAAATTATCCAAAATTCAAGGCTTGAGAACAATATTTAACAAAATGATTTTAAAATTAAAAATATTAGTAATAAATGCAAAATAACAACCAGTTAACAAATTAAGTATTGTCCGAATAATAAAGTTCTTGTTGCCAAATTTCACATTCGAAATCTCTTTATAATTTCTCGACACTCAATTCACACTAAAGACAATAACACACATTCCCCAACAAGATCCACGAAGAATCTGGACCAACGAATTTCTCCTTATGTGAATCGTGATTCGGGGGCTTGATTCCCATTCTTTTTTCGTTCCATCAAAATCCGATAAGCGTAGAGGAGAACGCACTGGCGACCATCCACTTCACTCAACCAACAGCTGGTGATTATCCTGATGTTCTGAAGTTCTAATGCGAGAAGGACTCAAGGTCCTTAAGCGTGCACCATCCGAGGTTCACTTCACGGTCGTTCACACTAGACTGGCTCAGGCTGAGGACGGTCATACACTCTCCCACTTTAACTATGCCATAGCTATGCCATGGTACACTGTACACTGTCGAGTATGTACGTCACGTCTTCGTGGCTGACTTCCACCATGCTGCGGCTCTCTACCACCATTCCTGCTCTGTAAAGCAGTCTTTTCCCCACTCCCATGAATCCTTCTCTCTTTCTCCCAACATTTTCTGCAGCGAAGCGTGTCTACCTGCACGGCTGGTACTATATAGCTTTTACCCATAGTCTGCGTATCCAGTTTTCTAAACTGAAGCATGTATGCTTTCAGTGACGAGAAATGGAAAACAGAAATGGAAAGCCAAAGTGGAATTGAACCCTTTAAAAATCCGGAAATTCGACCCTTTTGTCACTTTAAACTAATTTATTTTAAGAGGTTTCATTTTCCTTTCTATTAAGAAAAATTCATAGATAAAAGAAATCTGAATCCTGAAACTAGAATTTTATGGTGGAGGTCAGAATTAGTTGACACTTTTTTATTTCGAAAGAAAGAAGTTATTTAAAGCTGGTTGTTCCATCTTTAGATAAATTATGTGGTAATATATTTATTATTGGATAAACAAAAAAGTAAAAAAGTAAGAACATAAAAGAGTAAGTTGAAAAGTGAGCTGAAGTTTATTGAAAGGTGGAACAATTCAGTCTTAGACAATTATAGTATGTTTTTCATGATAAAAGAAAATTTTAACAAATATAATATAATAATTATTAAAAGATATGTAAAATATATATATTTTAAAATAATTATTTTAAAACTTTGAAAAGTAAATTATACAGAATATTGTATTTCGCACAATTTACACTAAATAGCATGTTTCGCTAAGCCAATTGTTTAGTTTTTATTAATTTCCTAATTTCTCGTTTTCCGTGATTTCCTGATTTCATTCATCTATTTGTAAAACCTTTATTATAGTTACAATATGATAAACTGGATGATTATTATGTACTGACTATTCAACTGTTTGAGAAAATTAAAAAAATGTCTTTCAGAAAATGTTTATTAGTAATAAATATTAATGTAAATGCACAATACATCAATAGGACAAGATTCAAAAATTAAAATAATAAAGTTTCTATTATCTTCCGTAGTCAAAAAGTCATAATTTAAATAGTAATAGTGATAATAAAATAATGACATTGCTAATTATTCTGTCATATAGTTTTAATTTTATAATTGTCGCGACACGAAGTTATTTTTCTTATTATACAGACTTTTAATTGTCATTAAGAACTGCTAGGCGTACACTATCTCTCCGCTCGGTAATTTCTGCTAAAAAGAAGATAAAATAAGCATGATGTCATATATGATTTATAACATCATGCTTATTTTGGTATTATTTTGATAATCTTCACCCCATTACGTTTTATTAACAATAATTATTATATTCACAATTTTACAATATTTATTAAATTTGCTTTGTATCGTTTGTAGACCTACTTTACTATCTTATTCGCAAGTTCTTTTAAATTAGTAAAAATTATGCAACTATTATAAAAAATGGAATTTACAAAATTTATAGCAATTTAAGATTATTATCGTTAGAAATATTATTAAAATTCTACTTCATGTACAATCAAGTAATTGTGTAACGTACGCAAGTCGCGCACATGTAAAGTTAACGGGACTTCAATGCATTGTGAGCATGAGAGCCTCAATTGCACAAAAATGTCATTAATGTTGCTTCTTCTTCGAGATATTACAAAAATTAACATTTTATGTGAACTTTTGTTTCCTTTTTCCTTTTTCGATTCTTTAACTTTCTTAAGAAAAGTTTTTTTATACAATAAATAATAAGATATTAAATCTTTATCATTGTAAATAAGGCAAGCAAAGTTCTAAGAAAGCTTTTAATAAACTTTAATACTTAAAATGTACGTGATTAATGAATGTAAACAAAAATTTTATCAAATTTATTTCATGCAGTTTAATATTTTTATTTATCGTAGCTTAATTTAAAGAAAAAAGAAAGCTCTCCTCTTTTTTTGCTGAAAAATTAAACAATTAAAACACATTAATATATTTTTAATAAATGTGTTTTAATAAATAGCGGAATATGTTTTAATACTTTTCAGTAACTAATAAATTAAATATAATAAGTATAAATTAAATATAATAACGTATATCAGCTAATTTTAACAAATTGATATCTTATGATAAAATCTATTTCTTCTCATATTATCACTACGTAAAAATAAAGAATCTAACAAGTGCACGAAATTTATACGTGTTATGCTTTATTAATGACTATAACATATGTAACTAAAAATTGGTCAGTGCGGTATAACTGAACATTGTAAGTGCATTGTACACGCATAGGCATATTTTTTCTGCATTCAGTAAACACAAGATGTACCGATGCCTTACTATTTCTCGCGTTATTATGATAAATCGCGTGTCCATATCGTTACTTCATCTTTTTACGCTTCGAACAAACATTCGTGTTACAATCATACACGATTATTGTCACGAAGCATCACGAGGTAAGTTAAAAAATATTATTGCGAAAATGTAAAACATTCAGAAAAGCCAGCAATCTGTCCTTCACATATAGCGACATTATTTAAGATTAAAATGATACAAAATTTATTTGTTTCAAATACCTTCAAATGGAGATTTTGTCAACCGCGAAGGATGGATTGGCTTCTTTAAATATTTTATGTCTTTGCGATAAATTAATATTTTTTAACTTACTTTTTTAAATATATATAAGTAATATAAAATGTAACCTTTACATTCGTATTAAATTAAATATTTCATATAATTTATTAACAACACAATTGCACGCGCCAAAGTTCCAATTCTTTTTTCTAACCCGTCACCCTGGTATCCCCACTTAATTGTCTTGAATAATTTTACTCGCGTAATACCTGTCAGATTACTTGAATGGAATTATTCGAAAGAATATTACTTTCATATGTAGAATTAGTTGGCCTGCTTTTCTAACTTGCTAATTTTGTGAAAGCTTGACAGCTGCAAGACGTGCAGCACACGTACTCTCTGCTTTCTGGTAATTCAGTAACATTTCTTTACTGACAAATAATATGAACACCATGTGTTCCTATGCAATTGTACATCTTCGTCTTCTTCTTTCCTCTTTCTTGGTACGGCTAAAACGAGTTGGAATTCAACCGCATTCACAAGTTGTTTCTAATATTTTAAATGATATCGATTTAATACGGTAGGATCATAGCTGAAATATAGAAACCATTTACATGTATCACCTATATACTTATCATTTTTTTATATCAAATTTATAATTATCAATTGATATCTTTTTTTAGAAAAAAAATGAATACTAAAGAATATTTAATTGAAAATATATTGTGATGTTTTTTTATAAAATCTTTATAATACATAATCTAATGTAACAGAAAAAAGAATATCTAATGTAACACGGTATTATTTTTATATCCTTTACTAATATAAAATAATAATATATCTGAATTACAGATATTATGTTTTTATATCCCTTTCTCTATTTTTTATTATTACATTAAATTACGTATTATTAAATAAAAAATTCTTTAATATTAATTGTTCTACTATACTATAGCATGAAAAATTAATGCAAAAGTTATATAATATTACAAATTTCTAACGTACATTTAAATAGAAATTGAATAAGGAAATCAAGGTTCGAATGATTTAAAAATATTTTTAATGATATTTAAACACATTTTATCAATAATCAGGATCTATTCATCTATGACCTCACGTAGCGACACACCCGTTTCTATAAATCACTACTCGAACTTTAGTGGGATTGTCCGCATTGCACTATACGGTGCACGAAGAATTAAAATTGCATTTCTATATAACGGATAGCCCCCTGGCCAAGTACGCATGAAATTACTCGGTCAGTAACTGATTCTCATCCGGAAAGAAGAAAATAGAATATAAGAAGAAAATTATCTTTGCGTGAGTGGGAGTAAAGTCTCGCTCATGCTCATTAGATATATTTATCCATGTCGTCATATTTAAATATATGACCATTTACTATCACATCCGTATTATTTCTGCTGAAGAACAATGTACATACAGTTTCCAATTTCATAAAATACATAGTGCTCACAAGAATTACGTGTAATATATCATACAACTACAATATATCATATAATTATTTTTAATCATATTTGATTGCAAGATATATATAAATAATCTTTTTTACTATTTTTATTTAATTATATTATTTGAATTTGTACATTTAAATACAAAATAAAATAAGAAACAATATTTCGTAATAAATGTTTAATACGTTTTTTTTTTAAATTGGAACAGTTTCTTAAATTGATATGACAGAAAGAGAAACATTTGTTTCTAAATTGGAAATTTTTAATTCTTTGAATTTAATTTTAAAATACTTCATGAAACATATGTACTTTATTTATATAGCGTATTGATTTTTGGCATAACAATTTTTAATAATATTAAATAAATAAATTCTACGCTTATATTATTACGTAACTTAAATTAATTTTATATCATAGTTTAAATAATTTGAATAATTTTTTTAATACTTTACACATTTTGAATAATTTATGTTTATTTCTTAAATTTAAAATATGTAGCATGAAATGTTATGGCTGCGCTGGGAATGATATTTTAGCTACAGAAAACAGACCTTTTCTCAATTCTAACCATTAGTTGATAATGTAGAAAATGATTAACTATGCATACCTTTTTATTAATAAATGAAGTGTATGTTTATTGCATAAAAATAAAAGGAGAAAATAATAATTTTATAAATATAAAATAAAATAAAAATGTACACATATAAAATCTTAATAAAATTCTAAAATGGTAGACTATCTCTCCTTTTAACACATGGAACTCTTTTCCTTGAGGCATTTATGTACAGAAAGAAATCTGCAGCGCCCTTTGCAGAGCTATTCAAGAATTAATATATATACTATCCGAGCTTCTTTACCATACGTATTGTACAAACGTGCTTACTCCGAATCGTACTTTATTTTTCTTTTTAGACTCCTAAATTACGTTAATTTTTTTCACACGCATCTGCATCTCTCAATATTCTTGTTTTATGTATTAAAAGGTGAAAATATACATATATAAAATATATACATACATATGTATGTATAAAAAATAGTTTGTGGAATACATTGACATGTGTATTTCTATTTTTGTAAAATCAAATTTTAATTCCATAAATATAGCTAATATAAAAAAATATTTCAGTTAGGAAATTTACGTTCAATCAATAAAAATGATTATAATCTTTGAGATAATTAAAAATAAAGTAAATATTATTTTTAATTATTTATTTATAACAATAATAAGAGATACGAAATACATTGATATATTTTCATATTAACTTGATATATATATATATATCAAATATGGATATTATATTAATATATCAAAATGTATTACAAACTCAACTGACAAGTTGAATTTCTTGTCTACCATTAGTGAATATCAGTAGAAATATGTATGTATAAATATGTAAACCCTATTAAGTATATACTTGACAAAAAATGTTATATATTTAAAAATATTTTTATTTATATATTACCTACTCTATTATAACAGCCACAAAAATATATATACAACAAAGAATTACAATAATACAATCTTTATATTCAAATAATATTTTTAATTTGAAAAAAATTTCTGAGAAAAATAATTAATTGATACTTTTATTAACATTTATTTTTAGAAAATGTAAATATGTTTAAAAATATATGACATTATCATAAAGTTTTGCCATAAACAATCTAGCTAGGATAATTCGGCTTGCAATATCGATGTGATAGATCGTAAAAGATTGGTCGGACGTCAAAATTTTATTTTATTATACGCTCAATCGAGACGAGAGGAGCATAAACGACGTTGTCATCTGCGTCAGGCGCACAATTACTGTAGACGTTTTAAGCGTCGTCGTGTCGATGATAGCCAAAACGAGCATCCGGACATGGAAGAAAATAAGACAAGTGCAAGATGAGTAACCAGACGAAGTTATCAAGTTAAAAAAAACGAAAAAGAGAATTAAGAGGCCGTAGAAGAACGCGGTCTTGTTGGACACTGATAATTGGTCTCTAGAATGAAATAGAGAGGATGGAAGAATGCATGTTTAATTAACTCGAACAAAATCGAAAAAATCACGTATTTTATATATATATATATTATCACTTTTATTTTTTTAAATATACTCCATACGTGGAAAGAACGAGTTTGTTGAAGTATCTATTAATTTAGCTACGAATATGAAAATAATTTTGTTGGACTATCAAAATAATTATGTGGGAGCACTCCAGTTGGTTACTAAAATATTAAAATTTTTACGGTATTGCTTATCATGCTTGAGTTTTCTATATAAATATGTTTATCAAAATTATTTCCAAATCTGTATGTTTTCAGTAAAATCATTCTTTCAGTGTATTATTTCGCGTTAAGTGTATTTAGAATCATATCTCATATATTTATATTAATCCTTTATATATTTTTTAAATGAAATTAAAAACAGACTTCTAGAGTTACATTATAAAGCTGTTCAATACATCACGTAATAGAAGTGATAGTCTATATATTATACTTTTTAATAATTTGTTTTCTTTTGTAATCATAATACATAAATTCTCTCTCTCTCGATTTCGAATTAATTCATCCATCTTCATTGTTGTGACTGTTAAGCGTTAATATTTACAGCTCATTTTGAATAACATATTAATTTTGTAAATTGCCGCTTATCATTTCTGACATAATCAATTTGACAAATAATCTTTGTCGCGAAGATATCTGCTGTTTCCGACACACATAGCTCACACGCTCGTCCGGCGCATCCTCCTTCCGAAAAGATCCACATTCCGACACGTCCATCCCTAAACGTCGACCAACCCGGATAGTATATTCTTCCAGGAACAGCTGCATTGGCGCGAGCTGTGAGCCAAAAAAAACGATGCTGTGAACATCATATTGGGAAACAATTTCACGGGTACAAAAAAAAAGCGGTAAGAAAAAGTAAAAAAATAAGACAAATTTCGTGTGTCATAACTGATTAAGGGTGCAACGAACTAACCGGGTGGTATAAGCATGGAACATTCTTTCACTGTCGCTGTGTTAATTGCCACTTTTATCCACAAAGCCAGTCGCTCGCGAGTTCCGAGGACATTCGGAACGGTCTCGACTGGATCGATCGCAGATCCTACCCGGTCGCTTTGTGCGACTTGGCTCACTTGGCTGCATTGTGAGACTATCGACGTGCCTCCCTCTCCTTTTCCTTCTCCCTTCATCTCTTTTCATCTCCTTTCCTGCCTCTTGCACTAACCCCCTGGCGCTGCTCCTGGTCCCACTGTGCACCAGAATGCCTCCGACCTCACCAAACTAGACACCGGACTGGTTTTTGCCCAATTTAGATCCCCCATTGTTCGGTCCGCGCTGGAACGAAAATAAAGGAACTACTAACCGCGTCCTATTCCCGTACGTTGCATAGGAAAACACCGGCAGTGCCAATGAGCACACTCGGCCTCGTGTCAAATTGGTGTATGTTGGCGAGATAGGTGCAAGGTCACACCTTGAAGTGAGTGCGGGCGGTAATCCTGATGGTTTTTTTTACTTCACGAAATGAATTTTCTGCTCTATACTGCGTACAGTATACGGATATATTTTTTATCGTACCTCAACTCGATGTGCTCGCTGACATTTTGCCTGGCTCTCCATTTTTCAAAGCGAGATATACTTGGCTAAATTATATATTTTTTAGCGTGATATTTTGGCGAATAACACCATGTTTTAGTTAGGAACGCGCGATTTTCAAAATTGTCCATCGCAATTGCAATCTTTCTTAAAAATCGCAATAAATGCGATACATTATCGTGATTTTTTATATGTATATATTATACATTTGTTCAACTGTCCATTTTTGTTGTATTAAAAATCTTTGATAAGTTCAGAACAGTGCCAGCTGAATAATAAAAAATAATTGTTAGAACACAACAAATACAAAAGCATTTTTTAAAATATAATAACATTAAAAAATCCCTATTAAAATTTGGAATATGTTTTCAAAGAAAAAAATCCCTCTCGAAATAGAAAATTATATCTGTTCTTTTTTACTGTGCTTTAGTCGAATTGTTTGTATAGCAAATATTAATCTTAGGCACGATTTTAAATCGTATCTCGATTTTGTGATTAAAAACCAGATACATATCGCACTACGATTCAAGAAATGAAAATCGCATATCTCAAGTTTAGTTGCTTCAGTCTTACAAATAATTCGCAAGAATTTACTTGCATCACAACGTGAAACAAAAATACTAAAGCATTATTTCAGCAGATCGATAAGAAGCTGAAGTGCATATCGACGTGTTTCCCAGGACTACAGTCAGTTCATTGTGCTGTCTCTGTCCCTCTCGAAATATCGCCGAAATGCGATGAAAGAAGCTCTATAAGCAACCAGGTGTAGATGGCCTCCAGGTGTTTCTTAGTGCAACGTCAAGACAGCCTTACAGCATTATCTTCTCGATTATTTTTGTTTGAAAGCATCCTGATATATTTTCACATTTAATCATTGCGGAAACTATTTCTTCGGCTATTTAGTTAATTGTAATAAATAAAATACTTGAGAATGATTTGTATCGATCAAGAATCATATACTTCTTTACTATACTTTTCTATATTAGAGTGTGTACTAAGATTAATTCTTTACTATACTTTTCTATATTAGAGTGTGTACTAAGATTAATAATTATTTCCTCAATTTTCAATTGTCGATTAAATGAAAACGATAGACTCGAAGAGAGATTAAATAGAAAATTAATTCCATTCAAAAACAAAATACACATTAAATCCCCATTCCCACTGTGTGCATTCTCAGAAACGATCTACAAGTAAAATGTGCGTTCTCCTTCTAAGTGGCTTGAATAATTTAATGAGAACCTACAGCAAAAAAAATAGTTACTTTGTCGGTACACCGGGTCCTCATTATACGCCACGTAACGGAACTCAATCCCTCTCTCTATTTCTACAGTCGCCAGGTATTTTCTACGTGGAATGTGTTACGTATAGCATCATCCATTGCTACAAAGATTAAAGGACTCGCTATCTAATTCTCTTTGCTTTAATTATCCTACGAGACGTAACATTCTTAATAATTGCAAACTTCTCATTGTGCTACTTGAAACAATAATAAAACTAAAAGGATCACGCGAAAATGAGCATTTTTAAAATTAATTATACTAATTTAAGGTTTTATGTAAGAACATATGAAGTTTACTTCTAGAATAATTTTTAATACTCAGCCGAATCTGTCATCGAAATATTTTCATTAGATTTGGTTTTTGAGGTTTAAACATACACATTTCAAATATATATAAATTTTATTGAAATAAAAAAACAAATTAGAAGGGTTAAGCGTTTAATTTTTGTTTTTTTATATGAATTTAGATCGATTTCACATATTAGAATCCAGTAATCGCCTAGCACGTCTCCGTCCTAATACTGATAACATCTGTCATTTATCACTAAATTTTACTAGTAAAAACGTTCGCCTTGCTTATCACATGTTGCACTCACATTATTCGGAAAAAAACGCCATATCTTAAAAATTCGACATGATAAAGTTTTCTGGCGGCAGATTAGAACTCAACGCCCCAAAATACGTTTAAAAAAGTTTCTTTTTCTTACATAAAAAAATTATTCAAAATTTATAAACTGTTATTTATAAATATAATATCTTATTGATTGATAATAAGAAAAATCATAATAATGATGCCTATAATTCGTAAAGACAAGTAACAAAGAAATATCTTCTATTCGCTCTTATTTGGATTTTAATTGATTGTCAATCGCCTTTCCGATTTGTAGCCGCAAGACAATATGAAGTACAGTAGCTCGTTGGGCGACAACAATGATCATTGATTCATACGTCATCTGGTTGCAGTATGCGTCACTGTGTTACTACACTTATAGAAACGGGCGGCGTTAGATGCATCACTGGTTCGTCACGCGGGATAATTCCGCGCAAGCTGCTCGAATAACCGAATGACGAGTATGAAAAGTCTCCTAATCATTAATAGATGCAGTGTTAGTCATTCATAGATACAACAGTAATTTTCTTGACCATTTATAGTATGTTTTTAATTGCGAACTAAAAAACTTGAGTTACACTGTTAAATTCACAATATTAATTAAATTCTGTCCAATTCGAATTATTTTTAATCATTCCTATAGATCGCAACTGCTCTTATTTAACTAAAATAATGGAGTTAAACAAGAAATATTAAATTTGACCCAAATTTTATTTATTATTTACTAAGTGTATACGTTAATATGTATGCTGTTTGTTTTGAAATTAAGCAATTCAACCACATAAATAGGTTGATTAGATGTTGTATCTTTAACCACACGTGTATTAAAATTATGCTATTTTTAATATTTCTATAAAATATACAACATTTCTGCAAAATTACGTTTAAATATTTCACGTTAAAAAATTAAGTATTGTTATTAATAATGTCTTCAATTATGATTGTCAATGAAAAAAAAGAAAAAACATTTAAGTCAGACTATCGACGAGAAATCAAATGTACATTTAGGTCAATCAATAACACGACGCATATCGGATTCTTTAACCCTATACCTTCGACGCAGAACGCCTTGCCCTTACCACTACGAATTCTGATCACGTATAGAGAGTACAACGACATACTTTCTTACGCCGGAAATTCGAACACAAGTGAAGCCAACAGAAATACAGGCCCAATTAAATGTTGAACCTATATCTTGCGCGTTTTACTAGTGATTCTTTCACAGCCATGTCATAAAATGTATACTTTAGTACAAAAAAAGCGATCAAAGTGCTGCGGAATTCCAAGCTGAAGAAACGCTCTATCATAAATTTCGAAAATTAGCAAAGGTCCTCCTTTAATCTGCCGACATATGTATAATATTTGACTCGTTGACGAATAATAACGTCTGCTATTCTAGAAGGGATTGCAAGAATAATGCTGCCTTTGATAAAGAAATGTTTAAAAAAACGCAATAATTATACATGCTCGATTAGAAATGGCTTATAGTTTAGCAATCGGGTATTTTTCGTCAACTCATTTGTTTAAACAAATTGCTTACCACAATAAAAAATAAAAAAAATATACATGCACATTAAATTGAAATACTACGATACAACAAAAAAAAGAAGATATCCACCGATTCTATCATTACATTCACGATCAAGTTTTAACGCTCCAAAATTTTTTCTATGTTCTCGTTATTTTATTACTTAACTCGACAACTCAGTCAACACCAATTAAAAGTAACATAATATCACAATGTTATAATCTCGCACTGAACAATGTAACCGTTGTATAACACCATGTATTATATTACATTGACATTGTTGAGTGCGAAATTATAGCATCGATATTATGTTACTCTTGCAATCGTGTCTACTAGAAAAATTCTGTTTCCAACGTTTTCGACACAGTACAGACACGCTCGAACGTATGATCCGACACAAAAGATAGCTACAGCCCTGACGCTTCGGCCGAGCCCTGCAAAGGGCCCGGCGACCATCGGCCCCACTCCTGGGCCCAGACCCGTGCTGGAGCCTCTCTGCCCATTCCATTCCAGAGCCGTAGCCGTCTCTCGCGTGCATCGCCCGCCGGAGGAAGCATTCCATTCATGTCTCGGAGCGCGCAACACGCTCGTCGCAGCGCCGCGTGAGAAAGAGAAGGCCACGAAAGAGGGCCCCGCCGCGAGGAGAAGCGCAGGGTCCTCTCACTACCTGGCGGCCTGGCGCCGCCTTCAGCGACGACGACGACGACGGGCCGTGATGACGGCCGTGATGACGATCGACGGGTTCGCCAGGAACGTCTGCCACCCGCCCTGCGGATCCGTCCAACGCCAAACACGTGGTCCTGCGTTATTGTCTCGCCACCGCGCCGCGCCGAGCGCATCCGGGGAATCCGGGGATGCAGTGAAGCTGCACTGGTGCGTTCTTTTCTTTTTAAATGTTTACCTTGCTCCTTTCTCTTTACTTTCTCGTCCTATGTGCGTCTCGCAAAATGTTATGTACCACCGTCGATCGCCGAGGAAATTCGTCAAAACGTGATTGATCTTGATAAAAACGGTATAGTAGGAGTATTTTTTTTTTTATATTGAATCTCAAAAGTTTCGTGCAAACATGCACATCGCGGAGGTGTGAAGATAATACGCGTATTATCTCGCTTTTATTTCGAGATAGAATTGGGTGTCTGTAAATATAGCGGCTTGATTAAGAGGTTTATCACGTGTTTGTGCTACTGATAAAGACGAGTGGTTAGAATGGTAAAACATTTAGCGAGATGTCTGCCTTGTCGCGCCGGCGCCGACTAGAATGCCATGGAAATCTCGTGTCCCCTATTTTCGAGTGGATAATGTCTCATTTCACACAGCGGTATTTATACAAATCTCATAACCCTTCACCGGCAACGGCGAAGTAAATTCTAACTCTTCTGTTAGCGGTTGAAAAACAACTAATTTTTTATTGTCCTGGATTATATAAAAATCTGAAAAAAATTCCAATATACCTGTCAAAGCTTCAACGAACGTCTACCATCTTAAAAATTGAACTGTATTTTACTTATATTTTCTTTAGAGATTTAAATTTATTTCTAAATTTATAAAAATTCATACAATAAATATCAATGATGTCTTTGAAGACCCTATTTACCGATAGATAATTAAACTTTATTTGTATAGCCTTGACGGAGTGTAATTATGTAATGCAATAAGCAAAACAATAATCTTATTATTTTTCATGTCAAAATCGTACATCAATACTGTCGCGTCGATAAAACCGTAATCGTAATATGACTCAGTCTGTGAATTATCTTTCGAATACCAAACTACATATTCTGATTCCTATCATATCTGCTTTCTGCTTATTTAAAATCATTCACTGGCACTGGTGGATCGCAGAGAACGGCGCTATTGTAAATAATCTTTATTTAGCAAAGCGGTCTGCGAAGGGTCGTAACCGACCGTCATCCCGACTCTTTTCGTCTTCAAAGCGCATAACCGCCGCGCATCCTCCGCATGCTAACGCGGCTGTTGAACTCCCCGGTCCCTCTTCATATATATATATATATATATATATATGTACGTATACATATATATTTAAAAGTGATAATTATTTCTATATATATATATTTAAATATAATATATAAAAGATCGCTTTTAAATTGTCCGACGCAACAGTCCCGTATATCGCTAATGCATTTATATACGTTCCAGCGAAAGATATTCCGTTCCGGAAGATCTTAGGTCGGAATTAGACTACGTATTGAAGATTGAGATTGAAATTTGACCAATCAAAACAATAGGAGCTAAAATTCCTTTGTCTTCATTGGTCAAATTTCAATCTTCAATGCGTAGTCTGATTCCGGCCTTACGAGAGACATTTCAGTGCACCTTCCGTAGACTGTACATCAGGGTTCCTCTCGGCGGTCCTTTCCTTCGATAGGACTCTCCTGAAAGCGCGGCGAGATCCGGCACGACACGACACGACAGACCTCCGATTTTTTACGACAACGCGGATGTCGAAATAACGGGCGAGAGATCCTGGTTGTTCCACGCGCGGTCGTCGAAACCGCTGCACTTCCTCTGCTTCCCACCGTGGGTGATAGTGTCAGGCGCAGGATGACGAATGTGTAATGTCGCGTCGCTAATTTTCCCGGGAATATGCATGCGACTCCGGCCAGCATGACGATACCAAAGTCCCGTCTTTCTTGTGGCTACGGCGAACTGGCAGTTTCTGATCGTTCAACGCGCCGTTAATGTCGCGATGGAATATAAAAACTATAATGAACGAGCGGCTCTCACTTACTCCCACGTGGCAGGTTGAAAAGTAACATCGAAATGAAATACTCGTTATTATTATAGTCCCATCTAGACCAAATTTTATTTAGACAATCCATAACCGCGTAGTGTACTTCATAATGTATGCATGGCTTCAACTAATATAAGGTCTGTCTCGCAAATTATTTACTGTAAATTATTCATTATACTTATAAGCCATGACTCGGATAAACAATAGTACATTAGACAATACTTAAGAAAATCACGATACTTTACAGTCACTGGCAAACGTAAAGCGTTTCACGTTACCCGTGCATGTCTATAGACTAAATGCTAATATTTGCATGTACTCGGCAGAATTTTACCATCATTCGCGGAACAACAAGAATTACGAGATATTTATGATCCTAGAATGAATAAACATACATACATAAATCCCCGCGATAGTAATCGTTCTCTGTATTTATCGATAATCGGCGTCGCATTACGATGGGAAAGTACTCTATTTACTGAATGGAATTTGCGGAAAAAATTAAGTTGTTAATTCTCAGAGAGTTACTGACTTATATTATAACTTAATTATAATAAAGACTCCCGAAGTTTGAAAACCAATAATAAAAACATATAGGCGTTAGAAGTCAACGCAGAAAACGATGCATAATGCCTAACTTGTTTTTATTATTATATAACAACGTTGCTTAGATAAGACCATTTCAAAATGTAGATTAATATTTTTTCTGTCTTTTGTCGCACAGATATACGTTTATTCGCAGATCTTTATTAATTAATTATTGCAAGAATCACGAAATGATACAGAATGTATTTTATTCAGTTCAACTCATTCTATGAATAGCGTTACATTTATTATCAGACACCCTGTATATCCTGAGATATTGCATACATATTTCTTAGTGTCAATTTGATTTTCATCAAAACATATTGCACCCTTTAATTAATATACATATAATATACATATAATTGTCGAGTTCTCATGATAGAAGAAATAACACTGAGAATAATCGATAGACATTTGACAAATGGTTCGCTTTCCGGAACGTTCGTAATCTGCATTTCCGCGATCGTAAAATTGCATTTTCCCAGAAGAGAATCCGACATCATTCAACACGCTTGGATACCGTCCAAGAATCGCCCCCGACTAATACTTTCAAACTTGAACCGAGTGACGCGTTACTCCGGGATAGCTCATTGAGCGTCGTGAATCACATTCCTTTACCGTAGGCAGGTACTACTACACATCGAAACGTCATGCGTTTCCACGTATCTCTAGGAAATTGTAATCTTCCTCCGTTTATATATAAATCCATGGCGTATCGCGTGCGCGGTCATTCAGTAACTCGAACGGGCCACCGTATACATCGGCTCCGGCGCGGGCGCGCGTCTCGTTCTTCCGAAACACGATTCACGAGACTCTGGGTCTTCGAAACAGCGGCGTGCCTCCCTTTCTCTCCCAGCCAGCGCCTCCCAAACTAGGGTTCCGCGGGATGACGAAAAATTACACGTTCTCCGCCGCTTGTAAAGCCTATTTAAACGACGCGCCGTCCGCTTTAGGGATCACTTACTGCGGCCATAAATATGTAAGTATATATACGGGCGAATATCGACTCTGTTTGCTCTTCAGTATTATGAGTTTGTTTTCTCTTTCTCTCTCTTTTTAGTCAGTTTTTTTACTTCTTTCGATTAGAACATAATGTAAGAAGAATGCAATATTAACAGAAGAATATATTTAAAAAGAAATATTGTGTCCTAAAATTTATTAATATTAAATAAGCTTCAATATATGAGATTTATAAATGAAGCTTTTTTTGTAAATTTGAAGCTTGCTTAATATTAATAATAATCTTTTTGGAAAATATTATTTTTTTTTTAAATAAAACGAAAGAGAATTTATTACTTTTGATGTAAATATTTTTACACATAAATCCTGGTAGATAAACGATAAGTTTTTATTGTTTTTACATATACATATATATAATTTTGTTGCTTATATAGTTTTATTGTTTGTATGTATGTATATATATTTATACTTACTTCATATAATAAGTGTAACATGTGTATAGTGACATTAGTTTGGCATAAATTAAATAGACCATGGATCGATCATGCTTCAACTGGTTTCCTACGCGTTACTGTGTATTTGAAAAATTACGATATTATTGACGTAACGAACACGTAACAATAATTACAAATTACCGATTGGATTTGGTGCCTATAATTCATTAATCGCGAAAGATTGAAAATATCGTCTCTATCGATCACACGAGTCCGCATTCGCTCGCGAAAGGCGTGTATCTATAAATAGCATCATGTGTCAATACAATTCTCCTCGTGTAATTCAAGGGTACAGAAATCTGCAACATTTAAATACACTTATCCTGATATTAAATTACGCTCTTCGGTCATTTAAACCAAGATATATCAAAGAGGACTCGATATATCTTCCACTTTCTAATATATTAATAATAAACTTTGTAAAAATTTAGATAAATATCTCAACAGTGCAAAATATGACAGTCTATACAATCATTCGACGAAGAGTATAGCACTTACGAAATATTTTATTCAACTTGATTAGAACTAACAATAATCTTAGGCTCGAGATACCAACATAAAATCGTATCCACTCAAAGTGCAAGTAAATTCAAAGCTCCAAAGTTTCAAGTTATCTTCGCGGTCTTATCCCCTCTTTCCTTCCCTTGTTTTTTGGAGCAACGGAGTGCGCTTATTCTCCGGTAATCCGATCGTGGCTTGAGCTGGAAAATCGGACGGCAGCTGTAGAGAGAGAAAGAGAGAGGGAAAGAAAAAGAGAGAGAGAAAGAGAGTACTGCATAAAGAACGCAGCCGCGAACAATCCCTTCGGAAACCGGCCAACCCGCTCGAGGGCCCGCCGTCAACTGATCGGATCCGTTGAGACCGGCGTGGCGAGACTCGGTTGTTCTACAGCCTGACCCACAGCACGGCCT